GAATACAGATTAAATTAGAGAAGAACATGATTTGGAAATTTCTCAAGTATTTTATTATTTTAGTAAAAGTCTGATTGGAATCATTTAGCCTATGAAAGCACCATATCATCCTTTTCTACTTATTTCCTAGAGAATACCTGATTGGAATTACATATAATACAAATAGAGTTAATTTTAATAAAGTATTTAATATGCTAAGTACAATTTAGGCCTTATGGGAAGAAAATGCTTTATTTTGTTAATGGATGTAGATAACTGGAGCTCAGTGGATATAATCTGATTAAACAATATATTAATTTACATAAAATAAAGTTGCACAGAATAAAATCCAGAAAATTATGTGATATCGAAAAGAACTTCAAAACCATAATTTATAATAACTACCTACATTCTGAAATTTCTATTATTACAGATTTTTAGTAGTTGAATGAATAATTTGTCTCACTAGAGTTTTGTGCTACTCATTATCTAATAGTATTTGAAATTAATATATACAATAGCCTCTATTTAATTCTCAGTGTCTAAAAATCCAGATATGTTTTATTTTATTATTGATGATACTGTTATCTGCTACTGGATATGAATTACTACTTTTTGATCATTTCAAGTTTTCTCTTAATTCCAGTTGGCTGAGTTTGTAACATAACTTATACAAATTATGAGCAAAACATAATATTTTTAATTGTTGGTTAATTTAATTAAAATTAAATTGATTAATGAATTCTTTTAATTTTTTAAAGTAAACCAGGTAGTTCGATGTTACCCATTATTATATTAAACGGTGATATTTTAGAATATCTTTCTAAAAATATGCCATTTTTACTATAATTTAAGGCTTTTTTTTTGGCATTCTATACCTTTCTCATCTTTCCTCACAATCTACTGCCTCAGTTGAAATACACAGATCAAAACATGAGGTTTTGGATTCATGGTTTTATGATGTACTGTTTAATACACATTCAGCCTAAAAGCTTACAGAATATCTAAGAGGAACACGATTTTTTCCTTTATATTTTTTTGATAGTTAGCAGCTGCTTAGTAATGTCTCTTATTTATTAATATACAATATTAGTAGGTTTAGTAACATCCAGTGAACTAAGTTGCAAATTTTGAAAATCTCGGAGGTTTTTCTGGACCACAAATAAATAGAACATTAGGCAAATAAGCTTGGATTACAAAATGCAACATTATTAAATAAATGTCATTCTATTTGATGATAGTTGCTTACTGAGAAAATTTGTCTATATTTCATTATAAAGATTATTGGCAGAATGTGAGACAATCAACAGTTTTTGATTTTAGGGATATTTCCTAAAAACCTTAGTATTGGAATTATCTGTGTGACAAAATTTCCTTAAGAAATCCTCATTACTTGATTACAGGTTGAATATTTCAGACATCTAAGCCAATTAGAATCATGATTATTTTGATTGCCAGAAATCCTTAAATGCATGTATTATCCATCGATGTATTCAGTTTCTATATTAGGCACCTTTGATTTAAACATTTTTTTAGTGGTTTATGATTCATAAGAAAGTCAGTTGCATTTCATTTTTTTTTTCTGGATATTAGAGATTTTGTTTTGCTCCAAAAAATAAATTGGGAGTGTTCTAATCAGTTGACTATGCACAGTACAAATAACACAGTGCTGGTTTCTAATATATGTGTTAATTAGTTTAAGATATAAAGCTAAGAACTAAAATGGGTTACTTCTTAAACACATTCATTTTGACCAATGAGGGTGTGTGTGTGTGTGTGTGTGTGTGTGTGTGTATGTGTATGTATGTATGTGTGTGTGTATGTGTGTGTATATATATATATTTGGCATCACCATCTAAAAGTTAGCATCTAGCTCCTCCAATTGTTCAGAAATTAGGCTTCTGGCCAGTAAGTGGTTTGTAAGGACAGGCTTTAAAAGCTGTATGCCAATGGAGTAATCTAAGTCCAGGCTTGTCTGTTGGAACGCACCAACATAAAACTGTCTTAAACTCTGCTGTATATTTTTATGAGATTCTAATCAACTGGATATATCAACTGTGTTATGGGCTGTTTGATGACATTTTGAGGTAGAAAAAGTAAATTGCCTTTTTTATTGTACTTTTTACCAGACATTGTCATACTCTGACTCAAGGCAAACAATTCGGTTGAGGTGATTCAGTTCATTTACTACTAGAGAGCACACTGGACAGTATTTCTAATTCGGTCATAGTCTGGAATACTTTGTACTCCTTTTTCTGTCAACGCCCCACAAAAGGAAAAATGGAATCTATGAGCTTGAATTTGGAAATTATGAGAGTAGAAGTAATATTGAACATCTGTCAGAAATCAGTATTTTGACTGGTGACTTATTCTTTAAGCTTGCTCTATTTCAAAGACAAATCTTAGATTCAGTGAACTAGTTCCTTCCTGTATGAGATTATTGTTTTCATGGTCCATGTGACTGCTGTAGGGTGGGGTGCAGAATAGGGTACCTCTGCTGGATGTCCTTCCATACTTGGATTTTTAATGTGAATTTAAGAATCTTCCACTTGATTTTGAGGTCTGGGTACCCATGAGACAAAATGATTAGGGAAGAAGTTTTTTCTCCAGTAATGTGTACTAGGTATTTTATAATTATATACATAAAGGTTGTGCTTTTGTGCAGAAAATTTAACATAGCATAACTAAGACTACTATCCTTAGAAACTGACAATTTATCTTTTCTTATACAACAAAGGCTAGTTATTTATAAAATGTTACCCTTATAAGACTGGTTATTTTTGCATAACTGATACTAATAATCTAGTTTTAGAAAGTCGACTTAGCCAGAGAATTAATGCTTTAAACTTTTGCTTTGAACTTGCTGCTACTGACTTTAAAATTTTATATTTGGCTTTTTCCTAAATCCATTTCCTGATATTTGGTTAAAAAAATAAAACTTTTTGGATTTTTGTTCTTTACTATTTTGTTCTAGATAGTTTACTTTCATAAAATTTTGTCTATTGTATTTCATTAATGATTCATAAAATATAAAGGACATTAAAAGCAGTAAAAATTTGATTTATCACTTTAATCTTGAAGTAGTTTTTAAAAGACTGTTTATCATTTTTAGACAATGTGAAAGAGTATTTCAGAGATCTGAAGAATAGAATGAGGTTTTTAACCCATGAGAACTTTTCAATTAGATGCTCCATGGTCACTATTGTTTCTTTTCTGATTGTCACGGGAATTTTTTTGTTGTTCATACACGCCAAGAATCTGTCTAGTGACATAGTTATCCCCAAGTGTGTCTTTTTATTTTAATATTTTAAACACAGTTTATTTCCTGTTTTGGTCAAAATAGAATAGATTAAATATTGTAGTAAAAGGAATCAATAGGACTTTCGTTACCTTTGACTTTAATGAAACCTGCTGTGACACTAGGCAATTCTTTCTTTTCAATGATCAAGTTCACATCGTTTCCTTCTTCTGTTTTCCATTGAATTGCAATATAATTCACTTATCTTTCCCTTTACTTAGAAGAGTGTATTCTTTTCAAAAAATTATTTTCAAAGGATTATTTGTATGCAATTTTATTCAAGTCTTTCTGAAATTCTCATAGCAAACTCATTAAAAAATATATGTTTGGGGACAGGGAACTCTCTGTATCTTCCTTTCAACTTTTCTGTGAATCTAAAACTCTGAAAAATAAAATGTATTAATTATAAGAAAACTAGAAACAATATAGTAATGAAAATTCCTTTGCAAAATAGAGTGATTTTGATCTTATGCAGTTCTAGTATATCTGTTTCTATTCATTTCTTCTGTTAAACAGGATTTCCCCCTCAAACCGTTATGAATGTGCAATTATAGAACCATAAGCAAATACTACCTTCAAGATTGCTTAACCTTAAAATCTTGAACCTCCTGTCTCCCTTTTATATCTATTAGATTGCTTGGATTTCTTTTCTTTTCTTTTTTTTTTTTTTTAACTTAGTAAGTTTTCAAAACTCAAAGTAACTTATTTAAAACAGTTAATTACTAACAACACTCATCTTTCCCCAAAGTTTGGATTTACAATTCTGAAGTTAATTTTGATGACTTCGTCTTCATTTATGTCAGATTGTTCTTTAATATATGCAAGGTTTTAAAAATACATACATTTCAACTGGGGTAAAGATTTGTGTACACTATTACGGAGCTTTGCCATTAAACTAAATGAGGTATTGAAGTCTTAAAAGCACAGTTGTAATAAGATAGAGACGTCAACCATACTATATGACTAGAGAAAATACGAATTGATGATGCCTTCGTTTCACTTGTCCAAAACAGACTTGTTTCGTGTGGTGTTTTTAATTGAGTTGTACAGTTTCTTTGTTTTCCTCTTTTTATGGATGTAGGACTCTGAAACTCGTAAAACTTTGGACTTTATTAAATGTGATTTTTGTTAATTAGGTTTTCTTTTTTTACCTCCACGAAACAACAGTCTAGTCAATGTAATGTTGCTTACCATGTGGTTGATTTTCTGTTTTTATCTTTTACTTTTTATTCTGAATCATATCTGTTTGAAATTGTAGCGGGAGGAACTATTTTAAGCAAAAAGTCATTGAAAGTACTTTTTGTACTGATAATGAAAATGCATTTTCTGAAAGGAGAAAAATCACATAATTATGGTTATATTACGTGAAAATCCTTTTTAAAAATTCGGGAACTGGTAATAGATTTTATTCCTTTGCTTTTTTTGAGCACTACTATATAGTAATGACTTTTGTGGTTGCTGAGAACACAGCATTGAATAAGACGGGGTCTCTGGTTTTAGAGTTCATGTTAAAAAATTTTTTCCCTAAATTTTCTTAGATATTAAGTGACTTTGTGGACTATAAAAATTAATAATTTTTCCTTTTAGAATGAGTTTCATCAGCCAGCTGAGATTCTTATTAGTAGTTTTGTGACTTTTATATATGTTATATTTCTTGAACATTATGGTTCTTGAGATAGAGCCCTATAATTTTAGTTAATAGCAAACATTTATAACAATTAAGGAAAATGCTCTTTACATTTTGCTTAAATACATATTCCTCTTATATTTTAGCTGGGAAGTTTTAAGATTCCTTCTGTCAAACATAAGATGGTGGTTGGAAGAATATCGCTTTGATGGATTTCGTTTTGATGGTGTTACATCCATGCTTTATCATCACCATGGAATGGGTAGGTAACCTGATATAATCAGGTTTGGGGTTAATTGCAGAAGCTGCAATAGCCATTATGCCTTGATTTTTATTAATTCCATTACATATGCTCTCTTTGTAGTAATTTATTATCCCATTTTGGCAATAGGTAGAGTGTAGTACATTTTATAAGTAAACAAAAGATAATCATTTCCTTTGAAATGTATCTGCTGGATATGCTATCATTATTGTGTAGCTTAAAATTTTTTTGACGAAACCATTTATTATAACATCTTCAGGATGTGAACACTACAGCACTTCCAATTAAAATAAAAAATAATAGATGAGAACAGTTGTGAATGCATAGGTTTTTACATATTACACATGGAATAAAATATGTATTTTAATTATAGATTTACCTGGTTAAAATTAAATTATAAATTAATTTGAAATTAAAAATACTTATCAGACTCTCAGTTTAAAAGTTGTACAGGCTGGGCATGGTGGCTCACACCTGTAATCCCAGCACTTTGGGAGGCCAAGGTGGTGGATCACGAGGTCAGGAGATCGAGAGCATTCTGTCCAACATGGTGAAACCCTATCTCTACGAAAAATCCAAAAAAAAAAAAATTAGCTGGGTGTGGTGACAGCCACCTGTAGTCCCAGCTACTCGGGAGGCTGAGGCAGGAGAATGGCGTGAACCTGGGAGGCAGAGCTTGCAGTGAATTGAGATCGGGCCACTGCACTCCAGCCTGGGCAACAGAGTGAGACTCCGTCTCAAAAAAATAAATAAATAGAAAATAAAAATAAAAGTTGGACAAAGAAGTGGAATCACAGACTACTATTCCCTCAATAGATGACATGGGAACAATTATTGTTGTTGTTGTTATTATTATTATTATTAGAGACAGAGTCTTCTTCTGTTGCCCAGGCTGGAGTGCAGTAGTGTGAACTCAGATCACTGCAAACTCCACCTCTTGGGTTCAAGCGATTCTCCTGCCTCAGCCTCCCGAGTAGCTGGGATTACAGGTGCCTGTTATCATACCCGGCTCATTTTTGTATTTTTTTTAGTAGAGACGGGGTTTCACTATGTTGGCCAGGTTGCTCTCAAACTCCTGACCTCAGGTGATCTGCCCACCTTGGCCTCCCAAAGGGCTGGGATTGCAGAAGTGAGCCACCGCACCCAGTCAATTATTATTATTTTTTAATGGCCAAATATTCACCAGCAATAAAGAGAAAAAAGTTAAAAAGGGTGAAAAACTTGACTAATTGACTAAATCTTGAAAACTGACTACCAAGGAAAGAAGCTAAACATTCAAAGTGTGCTACTGCTTGATCTTACTCATGATGCTGCCCACTTGAAATGTTCCTAGGAAAGAAGTTGTGTCTGTAAAACACAACAGAGTTCATTGATAGCCATTTTCCAGTTTTGGGGAAGCTGACTTATGGTATGCAAAGACAAGCATGGAAAAAGTTAAGAAAAATCTTTTCCTAGATTTAAACACCTACATGCCCCTGCAGAAACTACCTCACTGATAGAGGAGTATATTCCAGTGATTCGTGGTATTAGAGGAGTGAACCAAAGTTTATGGATATGGGATGTGCTTTTCATGGATAGAGAATCCAAGAAATGGTTAAAGAAAAACATTCTGAGTTATTTAACATTTTTTTTCTCCCTTGGAATGAGAGAGGAAGCAACAAACAAAATTCCTGAAACCGCACAGCAAAAGATCAAATAGAATACCAGAAAAGTTGAGATAAGGCAATTAATATCAAGCACAGTATTTAATTTATAAACTCAGTAATAAAGAGAAATTTATCAGGAAGTGATGAATTTACCTGCAATTTACTTACATACATGAAAAAAAAAAATGGTTGGACTCATACTATTCTATTTGCAGAAGCAATGTCTGCCAAATTCTTACAAAGTGTGACTCAAACATTTGCTAGTTGAATGGTGGTTGCCAAGGGCTGAGGAGTGGAGGAAATGGAGAGATGTTGATGAAAGGGCACACTTTCATTTTAAGGTGCATAAACTATGTGGAATCTAATGTAACTATGGTTAATAATATTAGTTGGTATTTGATGAGAGCCAACTTTAAGTATCGTTACACACACACACACACACACACACAGTAACTATGGTGACGGATGTGTTAATTTGAGTATAGTAATCAGTACACATTGTATACCAATATCAAATCAGTACCTTGGAAACCTTGAATATATACAATTTTTATTTGTCAATTAAACATTTTAAAATTAAAGAATGACAGCATCAAACAAAAGTGAGAAACTTGATAGTTATATTGCTGCTGAAATACAAACATGAAAGAACTTAAAGAATAAGAGTTCCATAATTATGCTTGAAAATATCCCTCAGCGATAGAATCCGGCAAACTGAGAAAAAAAAATCAATGGAAATTAGATATAGAGAAACAGGATAAAAGGCTGACGTAGAGCACAAATTTGATTTTATTATAACAATAATAGTAAATTACTGAAAGAATAGAAAGTAAATGGTATAACCGAAGTAAGTGAAATGTGCTATAACCTACCAAGGTTAGGAGGTGGGAGAAGAGGAGGCAGGAGGAAGGTTGAGAATATATAATCTCTTTATTATAGGGAACTCCATATTGCATAAATTGAAGTACCTGTTTGAAATAATATAAATATTGTGTCTCAGTTTTATGATGGTTTTCCTATTTTCTTTTCCTTACCACAAAGGGATTTAATACAAGCTAACATTAACATCTTAATGTGACAGAAAATGTATCAAAAATTATTTGATATTTAGAATTCCCTTTAGTATGATTTCACTTTTTTGCCATATAATTTAGCTAAAATTAAATTAAATCTTTAAAGTGCTTTGTTTTTCTCATGTCTGTGCATTTGTCAAACAAAATTGATTTGCAGGATTGTCTGAACCCTGAATGTTGACATGTAGTACTTTTCTAAGTCAGTATATTTGCTCATACTTATGTTATTAAACTGCTACAATAACAAAATTCATGTAAAAAACTAATTGGTGGATGTATTTGTGCAGAGTTAAGACTTGCTTTTTAACATAATATATCCATATTGATTTTCTTTTTCTAAGGTCAAGGTTTCTCAGGTGATTACAGTGAATATTTCGGACTACAAGTAGATGAAGATGCCTTGACTTACCTCATGTTGGCAAATCATTTGGTTCACACGCTGTATCCAGATTCTATAACAATAGCTGAGGTAAAGCCATCGTGAAGTCTTACCTTCTGACCCCCTTTAATAGAGAGCATGCTGTCAGCATACAGTATTTGACTAGTCAATCTCGTGTTGTCAATAATTGCATAAATGAAATCCTACCCTGTGTATAGTGCAGCTCTCTTGTATGGGTGGCACATTATTTAGAATTCACTGTTTCCCTATTAGAAGATAATGTATACTAATTACTTGTCACCATTCTATTGTGAAAAAAGAAAATGCCAGTGGTTAGAAAGTTAAATGTCCTAATCAGTGGACAGGCCCTTCCGCTATGAGACCTTCAGCAGAGAAAAGAATTGAATATTAATGTGTGTCTGTCCATTTATTATTTTTTTTTCTTTCTTGGCTCAATCATTAGACACAGGATGGATCGCTGCCTGCAAGCTTCTCTGAAGCCTTTCTTGTTCTGATGCGATTACCTTTCTTGTTTATGTTATTGCTCTCAGATTGCCAAATGTTCACTGGTTATTCATGATTCTTGAAGGTTCATGATTAACTGTCCCAAAGCTGCACTGTAATGATATAATTCTGTATATGCATAATTGACAATTCCCTTCTTGGTGATAAATGTGATAAATTAAGAAGTTTGTTAAATGCTTATGCTAATTTAGATTTAGTGCTAAAATCCCTCTGGTTTTCTAAATTCTCTAACTAGGAATTATTATTAAAATTGAATTTAGTGTGTTAAAACTGTTCTATACAAAGTATAGTGGTTGGCATATAAAAATAGTACGACTACTGTCAAAAAGAGTTAGAATTAAGGTGTGTTTTTACATTGTTGGCGTTTAGTTTATTGGCATGAAATGGAATAGTCTCCTTCCTGTAGTATTTATTTTTTGCATAGACTGTTTTTATACCCACCGTTTCTCAAAATCAGAAATCTCTAATTTTATAAATGGTATGATTTCATTGCTTGAATAGAGGAGAATAATTTTATTCCCTTCAGGCACTTTACTTTCTAAGTATTTTCTGGGAATAGAGCAGGAGCCCTAAATTCCTGAAATTGGTTCTTATGTACAATTCAAAACCAACAACCTATCATACAATTTAGACACCCAGTATTATTTCACAGTCATGACCTACCTACATTTGATCATAGCACATCTTACTAATACTTGTGCTAATTCTTTTTGTGCTGAGTATCTTTAACATCATTCAGAGTGTATTTTAAACTTTTGTCTTCTGTATATTTGAATTTTATTTGTCAAACATCAAAAATTTAATTAGTTTGTCAGTGATATTTATGGCAATCCAAAGAGGTATTACAAATGACAAATTATAATTAATTACAATTAATGACAGCACAAATCAAAAGTGGGTACTGAAGGAAAAGAAGCAATGATTTAATACATGAAAGTTAAAATTGTTACATTGATCTTTCCATTCATTTCAAGTAAAATAGTCTCATCATCTAGGGAGCTCTGGTCTGATTATCAGTGTTTCTACCAATGAAACTGAGACTTTAGCCTACTTTATATTACTTGGTTTTAGATTTTTTAAAAAACAAGATGTACTTTCAATTTATTCTACTTAAATTGAAAACTACTTCAATTTCAGTACATCACTTTTCTGTCTAGTGGGAGTCTCTTCCAAATGTAGAATTGATCCCCATGAACTTTTTTTTTTAAGAAAAGGAATGTGTTTGAATGGATAAGCAATATACATTTATTTAAATTCCTTTAGTAGAAATATGAATTTATTTATAATGACAATAACAAAAAATTGAATTTCTTTTTGTATTTTGCTCAATGTATCTACCATTTTACATTATTATATTTGCTATATTAAAACATTTTTGATTGACGTATCTTTCCCTCTGGAATGGTTATAAGTGCTCTTTATATAGTAAAAAATTAGAACTATTTTAATTTCATCCCAAACACAGAATCATTTTCATATGCCATATGAGTAGGCATCAATTGTTTTATATTTAGAGTACGTTTATTTTGATGATCTTTATGATTTACCTTTTTTTCTTAAAAATTTTAAAAGAACAGTCACTAACTTTCCACTTTCAAAAGGAGGGCCAAAATAATTCATATGCATTAATGAGGCAGCTTTCTAGAAATCAGATTTAGGAGTCAAGACTATATGATTGTTACTGAATCACCAGGGGTTCAGTCTAGGTCCTGCTGCTTGCTGCACAGAAAGCCAATCACTGAGACAGTGATTATCGCGGGAGAAGACTTTGATCAGTCTCAAATCCACCTCTCTGACCAACTAAAATTAGAGGTTTATATAGTAAGAAATAAATGTAACAATGTGTAAGAAAACAGAACTAGAGAGGGGTAAGGAAGCAATCATGAGGAATGACTGGTCTGGCATCTCATTGCATGCCATGATTTGGTGAACTTCAGTTCTTTGATACATTTTTTTGAGAACCTTGAGGGACAAATATAGGTTTCAAGCTTTTCAAAAGGATTAATTTCTACGTTTATCCAAAAAAATCTATCTATGGGATGATTAGGTTTCATGATGACCATATGTTTTTCTTAGCAGATTCTATTTCCTAAAACTACATTGAGACTGGATATAGAACATGCCTTAATATTTTCTTGAGAAAATTTATCTTGATCTTTAATACCAGCCCATCACCAGTCATTCATGACAGTTTGGTCTTTGGAAACTCTTTTTCAGAAGGCATTGTGTCTGTAATTCTAGTTCCTAATATGGAACCTGATATTTAATACATATTCATCCAGTCCTGTCTGTAGAAATGTGACTTATATTTTGATAAATAGAATGGTTGAAATGGCTTCTTTTCTACTGATCATCTTTTTTCTGCTTTATAAACCATAAAGAGCTATGCAGAAATAAGATATTACCGACAAACAATTTCTTATGGATGTATTCTACCGTATAGTATATTTACTTATACTTTCCTTCCATAAGAAAAAAAAAAAAAGAGGCATTTAACCTGAGTCTCAGAGAGCTTATGGTATCTAATAGTCTTTTACAGGAAGTGAGGATCATAATCTACGGAAGACTTTGGGCATTGACAGATACAGAAAAGCTTGCAACAAGTACATTCAAGGGTGAATATTTCAAAGTGGCCGAAGTACTTAGTAATTAAAATGAAATAGTAGGAAATAATGGTGGAAAGATGTCTTTCCTTTCACTTTCTGAGCACTTTAGTTAATGATCACAACTACATCACGTTGTCATTTCATAATTATAAGTATGTTTATGTGTATGTAGGTCCTAGTTTATTAATCTATGAAAGTCAGATATTATGTCTTATCTTTTAATCCTTCAGACCACCTCACTCATTCACTCAACAGATACTTACTGAATAACCTGCTTGTGCCAAGTATTATTAAACTATTCTAGATTCTTGGGGTATATCAGTGAACAACAACTATAAACTCTTGACCTCGTGGATCTTACACTGTAACAGGGAGTAGGGGAGTAGCTAATTGGATAGTAAATCATGTAGTAAATGCTTAATGTGTAATTGTTGAATTGAATCTGAAGCTAAGGAATTTGAACTTTCAATTGTTGGATATTGAAATCTATTGAAGGGCAGACTGTCTCATAAGATATGAATTTGGCAACAGTTAGTATAAAGAGAAGGTAGAGATGGGGAATGCATTTGAATATGGTCTAGGCAAGCAGTAATGAAGATTACATAAGATTGTGGCTGTGGTAATGGACCAAAGGAAAGTAACTTATTTGAAAGATATTGTGGAATTAGAATTGATAATACTTAGCGCATATTTTCCTAATGTTGTCTTAATACTATCTTTTGTTACATCTGGGTCCCTGTACCAATCTTTGAAACCCATTTTTAGATTAATTTTATTTGATTAATTATTGGATTACTAATTGTCTAGAGTAGAAAGGACCCTCTGTCAGAAAGCCTGAAATCTGAATCTGGCTCTACATTAAGAATCCTCTATCTTGACTGGGCGTGGTGGCTCATGCCTGTTGTCCCAGCACTTTGGGAGGCCAAGATGGGTGGATCATTTGAGGTCAGGAGTTCAAGACCACCCTGGCCAACGTGATGAAACCCCATCTCTACCAAAAATATAAAAAATATTAGCTGGGAGTGGCGGTGCACCTCTAATCCCAGCCATTCGGGAGGCTGAGGCAGGAGGATCGCTTGAACCTGGGAGGCAGAGGTTGCAGTGAGCTCATATGATGCCACTGTATACCAGCCTGGCAACAAGAGTGAAACTCTGTCTCAAAAAAAAAAAAAAAAAAAAAGGATTCTCTATCTTGAGCAATCCCTTCACCTCAGTAAGCCTCCGTTTCTATATCTGCTAAATAAAGATAATCCCTACCTAATCTCAAAGACCCTTTCTAAGCGCAATCTACTTTAGTAAAAGCTGCTGCACTGTTTCACTGTTAATGTACTAACTCTACATTCCATTTCATCAAAAGTTAGTGTTCACAAAAATACACTCCCTATCAGGGCTATGTACAGAAAGAACAACTATAACAGATTTATGCCACATGTATTGTTGTGCTTGGTGAAAGCAACAAAACTAATAAACGTTCTACGGTAGTTCAAAAATAGGAAACTGTGTTTTAGCAATAATAGTTTTACTCTTTTGTGTTCTCTAGGTGATACTAAAGAAAAGAAACAAATAGCTTCATGAGATCGAAGTTTGCCTGGAGTGAAAACATTAAGCAAAAATCTTTCTGGGAAATGAGATATGCTATCACAATTTTATCGACTTTTACGTTACCAAAGCAGCCCCAAAATATATGCCCCTATTGTTGTTTTCATTTATTGACCTGGGCTTTACTGTCAGAATATTTACTAAAAGTTTGATCATTATGAACTGACATTCTTTGTTTTAGGATGTATCAGGAATGCCGGCTCTCTGCTCTCCAATTTCCCAGGGAGGGGGTGGTTTCGACTATCGACTAGCCATGGCAATTCCAGATAAGTGGATTCAGGTAAGAGTCTATGTAAATATTTTTTGTTTCTGCGAATACTATGTTGCTTCATTTATCTTTATTTCTTAGTTGTGATCATTAGTTACAGATATTATAATTGAAGTATTAAATTCTTTCATTAGTCTGTCGATTCTTATGCTATTTAATAAGGTGCTTCTCAAAATGTTAAAAGTTCTGATTCAAAGTATTCATACTTATTCAGGCAAAGGGAAAATATGATTAATATAATGTTAGCTGCATAAATGGAATTTTGCATTATCAATGCAATTATATGAAACTTCAGTGCTCTATAGTTAATACACATTAGACTTCATTAAAGCATTCATTTATGCCTACAGATCATGCATTAATGTAAAAGCTACTCCTTAATTCCCAGTACTTGCTTAATAGTATGGTTTTTCCTCGACAGATTTGGATTGGGTTCATCCATTCCTTTATTCAGCATTAAAAAGTCCTTACCATGTGTCAGACACTAGGAATGAATACATGGTACTTTGCACATCATTTATCAATAAACTTTTATTAAATTTAATGACAGTTCAAGTAGTTTGGGTTTTTTTTTCATTTAATGTTTGCCTAAAGGACTAAAGTCATTATGTAGACTTAGGTTTGATACAGAACATTTCTTAGCAGCCATGTCGACATTCATGGGCTGAATATGTATAAGGAGTCAGATTGTGTATAAATAATCATAGCTTTCTGATGAGCCCTTTACTTCAGACATGAACTGGTGCCATGAGACCACAGTTGTAGAAGGGCTTAATTTTGCGTAGAAAAACCATAGAGCCTACTCTTAAGGAAGTGGTTACTATAATCATTTCTTAGCTGTCTTTCCTGTCTCCCCAGGCAATTTGTGCAATGCATAGCTCTGACATTAAACTTTGACCAACGTAATTTCTGCTCCTACATTTATAATGATTCCTTAAACATTTTCAGATCCAAAAGCAAATATTTTATAAAGATTTTTACTTAGAAAACATACAAACAAACAAAGGAGTATTCTTCTTCCATACATGGGAAGGTAGCCTTGTATTTGTTACTTTAAAAAAAAATGCTGTGGTCTTCCAGTTTCTCACCTTGGTATAAGGTTCCTTGTCGGCCCCATCTCTTACTATTTCTAGTTTTTTTCATGTAGATTTTTTTTTCTCACAAGTGACAAATCTTACTTTTTAACCTTCTGCTAAAAACCTTAATCATTCTTTGTTCACATTCAATAATCTTTTAAGGTGTACATCAACCTAGAATTATTTTTCAGTCAGTAATAGCACAAAGTGAGATATTTTCTCTCTCAGTATTCATGGCAGCTTAAAAAATGGAAATTTAACCTAGTAAACATTTTATTATGTTGTATGCTGAAGGTAATGTATTAGGCAATGTATCATACTTACTAATCATACATGATAAACTCTAAGAATCATAGTTATCAAATAGAAAAATATTTTATCCTAAATTTAGGATATGACCATCCTGTTTTAGATTGTAAGTTCTGTAAAAGCAGTTATCATCTTCTATTTTATGTAATTATTTAAAATTCTTATTGTATCACCAAATTGGGTCCCCCCTTAGTTAATAAAACTAAAGTTAAAATAGTATTACAACAAAACCCTTAGACACAGTGATTTTCCTCTACTTTTATAAGTGGTGCATTTAAAAACAATTCAATAAGTGGCTCCCATTTTCCTTACATGTCAATAAAACACTCAAGAGTTATTAAATCAGATGACAACTGTACTCAGAATGTATATGGCCTGCGATGTTGTCTACCCATACAGTATGAGCTAGATTAGAATGCTAGATTTTATTCATGTTTTTGTAGTTCAAAAGCAAATTATGTATCATTTCCTAGTTGTATTATTTCAAAATCATTCGTTTCAAATATCATTCTTAGTTTAATCAATTACTGAACAAATATTTGACTATCTAAATTATGCCAAATTTGTTGTATTTCCTTTCATTTTATTTGATCATTTTTGAGGTGTTTGTGTTAAGGTGATGTATGTGTCTAGTGAACTCATTCATTGATCTGTTAATTCCACCAAATATTTACTGAGCACCTAAGATAAATATAGCTTCTTAATTAAACTTTTTTGAGATATTAGGATAATTGTAGATTCACATGTGGTTGTAAGAAATAATACAGTGAGATCTGGTATGCTCATTCATCAATTTTCCCCAGTCATAACTTCTTGCAAAGCCATGGAATGATATTTTAACCAAGATACTCACATTGATATACTCAAGGTGAAAAACACATTCTTTGCCACAAGATTCTCTCATGTTGCCTTTAGAGTAACACCTACTTATTTTCATCTTGCCTGCCTCTAATAACGCCTTAACCCCTGGCAACCACTAATGTGATCTCCATTCCTATAATTTCATCATTTCAAAAATATTATATAAACGGAATCATGCAGTTTGTGACCTTTCTGGATTGGCATTTTCAGTTAGCAAAATTTTCTCGAGATTATCCAAGAAAACCTCCAATGTTGTTACATCCAGCATTCTTGTCGCATGTATCAGCAGCATGTTCAACAGCCCTGAATAGGATTCCAAGGCAGGGGTATACCACAGTTTAACCATTCACCCATTGAAAAACCTCCAGGTTGCTTCCAGCTTATGGCTATTATGAATAAAGTTAGTGTATGCATGTATGTACTCATTTTTTATCAACATAAGTTTTCATAAGTATGAGATAAATGCTCAAACACTACAATTACTGAACCGTATAGTTATTCCCTGTTTAATTTTTTAAGAAACTGCTAAACTGTTTTCCAAAGTAGCTGTGACATTTTACATTCCGACTGGTGATGTTTGAGGGACCTGCCTCTACACAGCCTCACCAGCATTTGGTGTTGTCACTGTGTTTTATTTTAGCTATTATAATCAGCGTAGAGCGATATCTCATTGTGGTTTCATTATTTTTTGAATGATTTATAATGCTGGATACCAAGCATGTGCTTATTTGCCTCCTGCATGTCCTGTTTGGTGAGGTCTCTGTTCATGTCCTTTATCCATTTCCTGACTTCATTGTTTCTTTACCGTTGAGTTTTGAGAGTTATTTATATAGTTTAGACTCAACTCTTTTGTCAGATGTATGGTTGACAAATTTTTTCTCCTAGTCGGAAGCTTGTTCTTTCATCCTTTTCATATTGGCTTTCACAGAGCAATTGTTCAAACATTTTGATGAAGGCAGTTTATCATTTTTTCCCTTGTGTAGGTCCCTCTTTTGGTATCAAGTTTAAGAACTTTGACTCTCTTATGGTTTTTACTAAATGTTTTATAGTTTTTATTTTTTGTATTTAAGTCCGTGATCCATTTTGAGTTAAGTTCAGTGCAATATATACGGCGTAGCTCAAGGTTCTTTATCTTCTCTTTTTACCCATGGGTATCCAACTCTTTCAGCATCATTTGTTGAAACATCTGCCCTCCTTCCATTGAATTACTTTTGCCTTTTTGTCAAAAATAAGTCTGGCACATTTGTGTAGGTCTATACATTCGTTTCCTATTGTTCCTATATCCAATTTACCACAAACTTAGTGGCTTAAACAGCACAAATTCACAACGGTTCTAAGTGTTACAAAAATGAAATGGGTTTTACTGGGCTAAAATCAAAGCGTAAATGGAGCTGCATTTCTTCTGGTGGTTCTAAGGGAGAAGCCATTTCCTTGCCTTGTCTCACTCCTAAAAGCTACCTATGTTCCTTGGCTCATGGCACCTTCCTCTCTCTTCAAAGCAGCAGTATACCATCTTCAAATCTCTCTCTTGTTTTGACCCTCATGCCTACTTTTTAGACAGATTCTTGTGGATTAGGCTGCAAACATTTATGGATGGTTGCTCTTCTGCCTTCCACGTTCTGCCCTCTGGTGCCCAAAGATTTGCACTGCAATTATGAGAACTGCTTATGTTCTCATAGTTGTATGAGTGTGTTGCATTAAAGAAGGAGAGTAAATGTAGGACGTAATGCTGAGGAACATTAGCCTTTATAGGACAAACAGAGGAAGAGAATTTACAGTATGTCAGGAGTGGCAGAAAAAAACAAAACAGTAGAAAACCATAGTTTCATAGAGAAGTTCATGGGCAGGAGATAGGACAGTGTCAATATGTATAGCAAGTACCTACTTCAGAGACAGCAATTACTAACTTAAGCTTAGACCACAAGCTTAACCTCAGCAAGTTCAGTTGCATAAAAGTGTAGTGTTAGAGGGACAGAGCCAGACTGAAGACTGAATAGAAATTGAAATGCAGACACAAAATGTGTGGTCTGTTAAGAGGGTAGTTATTTCATGATAATTAGCTTTAAATTTTGAAACACTTCTTGTTTTATCATTTTGTAAAAATGAAGTGAAACCCTCTTTTTACTAATATTTTTCATATAAACAAAAAAATGTAACAAGTGTATCTCTACCATGTGCAAGTTATAGAAAGTCGTGCCGTGCAATAACACATTACTGTGGGCATTAATCAAGAGGTAGCAGTTATTACAGAAAAAATGTTGCAAAGATCCTAAAGTATAATGATTAAACTGTCTGGACAAAAGTGCGTGCGCGCGCGCACACACACACACACACACACACTCTACACCACTGTCATTTGGACATTCTGTATAAAAGCTGTGATTTCAGTAAAAGTTTACACAGTGATAACTTTGCTATATGGGTGGGCTAATATGTGTATATCAAATACACTGATATAATGCATCCCTTCGGATTGGGATTTAAAATAAGAAAAGTAATGGTTTACTCAGAAGCTTATTTTTCTCTCTTTTGTCTAGCTACTTAAAGAGTTTAAAGATGAAGACTGGAATATGGGTGACATAGTATACACTCTCACAAACAGGCGCTACCTTGAAAAGTGCATTGCTTATGCGGAGAGCCATGATCAGGTAAATGAATATGTGCATAAATTCATTTCTTTCTTTCTCTCTCTCTCTCTTCCTCCTTCCCTCTCCTTAATAACATTTAAATAGAAACATACCAAAATATAAACCTCTGTAGTTACTATAATGTATGTGTGTGTGTATATCAATATGTATCTTTACAGGACAACTAGGTATATTGGAAAAAAAGTTAAATTTGTAGATGGAGAAACGCCAGTTTCAAAACGCAGTGGTATGTTTGTCCTGCCAAACTATAATTAATAGATTATACATTGTAGTTGCAAGTATTATATGTTTTCCCTTGTCATGATGAAGAGTATTGGTGCTGGACCAGGGTTATTTTAGTTTCCATCTTAGGCTGCCATCTAGAGGTATTATTTTATGCTTTTGACATGCATTCTTCATTTTCTCCCCTCAATCACCGAAGTCTCCTGCTAATTGACCTCCCTGACCCCTGTTCCTTCCAGCCTTAGTCTGTCTTCTCGAATACAGCCTAAGATATTTTCCAAAGAGGAAAGTTCATCTTGTCAACCCACATATATTGGTCAAAGCCTGTAATTCAAAGCCATTCCTATTTTGGCCCAAGCCGAAGTTTCCAGCCTCATTCTCTGCCCAACTCTCCAAGCCTCCTGTTCTTCAATACTTTGAAATCCCCACCCATGCCAAATAGGTCAGCTTTTTCCAATCTTCTGCTTTCCCCCCCCTCACATCTGCATCTGGGAAGTTCCTACTCAGACCTAATTGCCTGGCTCTGACATCACATTCTATATGAAGCTTTCCTTGGGTCATCTAGGGAAAAATTAGTTGTCCCATCCTCCAAGTTTCCGTGATGTTTTAGGAACAGAATTTTTTTTCATTGTCTTTCTATTTCCAGCCTTTAGCACTGTGACTGATGCTAGTAATCACTTAATACATATTTTTTAAATGGAGAAGAAAGACCACTTATTCGAAGTCATATTCATCCTCATACACATCAACATAAAATTTACTTTTTGTAGATTAAAATGTAGACAATAAAATGAAGTTACTTAAAGTATCTTTATTAAAAACTTGAAACTAAGTTTCTCTATCATTTTGGCCATTTAATGCAAACATTATTTTTTTAGGTGTCTCCTGTAATTGTTAAGAAAGTGTAAGTAGAGCAGGGGTTGGCTAACCAAGGCCTATGGGCCAAGTCTTACCTGCTGCCTGTTTTTGTAAATAAGGTTACTTGGAACACAGCCATGCTCATTTGTTTACATATTCTCCTTTGTGTCAAAATGATGCATTTGAGTAGTTGAGACAGAGAAAGTGGCCCACCTGTAGAGAAACTTGATGACCTCTGAAGTAAACACATGTTAAATTTTGCATCTTCCAAATTGGGGCTTTGCTTTCTTATCAACTTAAATTTATAGTATCCTTGTCCATAGAGCAGATAAGATAAATACTTATCTAAAAAAGAAGAACCCAATCTAGAAAAGAAAAATATTAGTTTAATAGGTGAGTGGTGGGGGTGGGGCGGGAGAAACTCACCAAATACACAACAATTTGAAAATTACAATATATGCATAGATTATAGCTTTGTATTGCAGACTCCTCGAAGTTGCAGCACAGAGTGAATTCCCAGCATATGTTTATTTTGTATGAATGAAAGTAAACAAGTGAGTGGCATGAACAAATGGAAGATGAAACAGATTTCTTACTAACTTTCTACCTAATCTGTAAAGAAACAAATTTACCAAGAATTATTTCATACTTTAAAAATTCAGGTAATCCTGTCTCATATTTTCAGGAATTCTCAGGATAGCAGAAATAATGCAAGTTGCCTAGTTCTTTCTAAAAGCAAATGTACTTTGATTCTTAAGCCAGATAAAAAACATAAATGTATATGAATACATAAAAATGAATAAATAAACATATAATTTATAGTAAAAATGTTTGTGGATGTTATTTTAAACTTTTTAGATAAATCCTTAACAATTAAATTTGTAAACTTAATTTCACCAGTATCTCAACAGGATTTTAACTTAACTTAGTTTCACCAGTATCTCAACAGGATTTTATAAGAGGGCAACTTGATATGAGAATAAGCTTTATCTATGAATCTGATCAAAAGTTATTAAAATAATTTTATAATAGAATCAGAGATTATAGAAATAAATAGTTACAGCTAAAAACATAATTAAAGAATTCAAAACAAGTAGGAATGTGAAGTGTTTCAGAAGTAGTGATACAAATCTTACAACAATTTTTAAAGAAAAGTAATTTTAATTAAAGTAGGTTAAAGATAGAAAAGATTGTATACAAAAATGTTTTCTAGAAAATGAAAAGAATTGTAATAGGGTACTGAGATTATGGGTTAATTTCTATTACACATTTTACTCTCTGTTATTTATTGTTTTGTCCATCATGAACACTGCATTAGATGTTTTTAACTGTAAGTAATTCAGATTTTTAGGAGGTCTGTCTTCTGTTACTCAGGGCATTTCTGAGTTACCTGCCCCAGTTAATAATTATTATGTTTTCGGGTAAAACAAACTAAATTTAGATTAAATGGCAAATAAAATGAGAAAGCAAATTTATGCTTAAATAAAAGTTCTCAACTTATTTTCTCTGCTGAGGGCAGGAAGGGACTATTATGATATAGTTACACACATATACTATTACATTACTCATATATATGAGCAAAATAATATATATACATTATATATATCAATGTTTTTCAGAAACTTCTTTCAAAGCAAATAAAATCATTATATACAAATTGTTTAAAATATCTATTTAATATTCTCAACATTATAATAAATGTTTCAGAAAATGTGAGGTGTTAGCTCAAACATAACAGATATTCAGGTACCTTATCATGAATCTTTCACCAACCTATTTTAAAAATAAAAATCAGTCCTGAAAACAATTGTGTTGATTTCTAACATATTTTACCAGCTTACCTTGCGCCTAGAAAATCACCAGTGGAAAATACCTGAAATTAATATTAACCTACACTCTTCTTCTACAATGTTTCCTATCATTCGTAACCATGTGTTGTTCTATTGTAAATCACAACTACTTAGCGCTTTTTTTTTCTTTTTTTTTTTTTCATTTATTACCATTACTTTTATTTCTATAGGCACTGGTTGGGGATAAGACGGTGGCATTTTGGTTGATGGATGCTGAAATGTATACAAACATGAGTGTCCTGAGTCCTTTTACTCCCGTTATTGATCGTGGAATACAGCTTCATAAAATGATTCGACTCATTACTCATGGGCTTGGTGGAGAAGGCTATCTCAATTTCATGGGTAAGTGTGAGTTAAACACATATCCAATTTGTGTTTAAAATGTTAACTTATAATGAGATAAATCATGTAGAATATTTTGATTTGGCTTTTCAGATTTAGAATATAAGATTACAACTATTTATTTCATATACTATCATGTGTAAATTTCAAAAAAATAAAATTAAACCATGATAAGGTTATTGTTATATTAATATATGATACAAAAGTATAGTCTAAAAGCTGATATTTAATTGAATATTGCTGTCAAGTGGGCTTACCTATTTTTAACATCCAGAATTATTATTCTGAATTTAATCATTCTGAGTTAATGTTATTAGTATAATATTTGCACATTAAATCTAAGAAATATATAATTATTATATTATAGTATAGTAAGCTAGTATTATTGGTAATCTTTGAGATAATTTTATACCAGTATACTTGTGTTATAAATGTGTAAACTTAGGTTCAGAGATATTGTGATGGACAAAAAGAAATTTATTTTTTTAAATAGAAAAATACGAATACTGAAAGGTCATTTTTGTCTGAAAACTCTTGAAATAAAATATAAAAATTGTTCTGTTTGGTGAACAGCAGACATTGAAACATTCGAGTTTTAGGAAATTTTTACAGCTTTTAGACTAGAGAAAGACACAAAGACTGGGGAATACATACGAAAGGCTGATTTATTTTTCTACAGTAGAAGACTCAGGGTGGGTAGTGCCTCACACCTTTAATCTGAGTCCTTTGGGAGGCTGAGGGAGGAGGATGGTTTGAGGCAAAGAGTTAGAGAACAACGTGGGCAATATGGAAAAGCCCCATCTCTACCAAAGGAGAAAAAAAGAAAATGAGCTGGGTGTGGTGATACGTGCCTGTACCCTAGATAATCAGGAGGCTGAGGCAGAGTGATTGTTTGAGTCCAGGACTTTGAGGTAGTAGTAAACTATAATCATGCCCCTGCACTCCAGCTAAGGTGATAAAGCAAGATCCTATCTCTAATTTTAAAAAAGCCCTGGATCTTTGAGTTATTCACTTCTACTTGGAAATTTTTGTAAGAAATCTCAGATTGAACTTTTAAAAGCCTTTATTGTTTACTAACTGGAGGTTAGGAAGCCAACCCCAAAAAAGCAGACACAGATTTCACGTGTACTACCTGTACCTTTGGGTGTATCCGCTATTCTCAGGGTCACCGAAATTTGTTAACATCCGTAGCCTTCCAGGAAATGACCTTCCTGACTTGTGAGACTGCATCGCATCAGCCAGGTATCAGGTCAAGTTTCCTGGATGAACTTTGCAGTGACTGGTTCCATACATAAAGTCAGCCTTGGTTCCTTAAAAGCAGTGGTTCTACCTGACTCAGTATGCATCGTTCTCCAATGTGGGCACCTTCATAAGGCCTTAGTTATGCAACTCATTTGTTTAACTATATCCTGATGAATAAGTAGACTCTATGAACCTATGCAAATAACCATGTCACCATGTAAAGTAAGGAAACTGAGGACCTAGTGAGATATTTTAAATGCTTTATTTCATTTACAAAAGTACAAAATTACTGTAACCTACAGAAGGAAATCCTTATATATCTGTAAACTAAAACAATTTTTCAAAGAACCAAAATAAAATGGACACCTAGTTCACACAGGCATTAATCCTTGTAGCCCACTACATATGAAAATATAGAAATCCTGACTCAGTCTTTCGCTCTAGTCTGGAAGCTATGTAAGTGACATCAACTCAGATGCCTCTACCAGAGTCTAGAATTTATCAGGAAGTACCTAATAGATTCCTTTTCCTGATGCTGTCCTTTGTTGAAGATATCAGATCTGGCCTGTGGTGCAAAACGGAGTCTCCAAGCAAGCACCAGATTAAAACCAAGCTATCTGCGCATGACAGAGATTTAATAGTCATGGCCAATGTAAAATTGGTAACTTGTCAATGAAGAAAGGCCTAATGATATTTTATAATGTGACCTATTTTCTTGATTTTTGGGTAGTGTCTTACCTAGGATAAAGCACGTTCTGGAGAGCTAGGACATTGACAAATCTACAGAAACTTTATAAAATTTCAGAAATATTTATATTAATATCACTTTAAACTATCTTTTCAACTGAGGGCAGGCTGAGTGTCTATTCAGTGTTAGACACTCTTCTCATGGAACTTTCAATAGTAACAAAATATAACAAATATAGCTATTTCTACTATATCTTTCTATGTTTGTAAATTAACCATATTTATTATATCAAATATGATTTTGAGATTATACTTTTGTATAATCTTTTAATCTTTTGTCGTTGAAACAAATACCTTCTAATATGTTCAATTCCATTATAGCAACTTAAATCTTTTTTATTAGTATCTTACCTAAATACAGTGTTTCTCTACTAACTTTGAAATCAATAATCTTCTAGTGGATAAATGATTTCTAATTACTGGTGATGTTTTATGAAATTCAATATGTCCTCATGAGCTGTCACGATTTTAAATATATTTTTCCTTTTCTGATCATGGTCTGCTTAAAAAGCCTTCTGTGACCCTTATGCTCTCCACTTGACCTGTGAGCCTCAGAAAGCTCCCTCATGGGTCTGCCCCTTCATCACTCTGCTGCAGCTATGGAGCTGCCTTTCCATTCATTGAATGGACAAACCTTCTTCCACTCTGCACTCTATACGTTTTGCTGACCCCTTACCTGGAATCATCCCACTCAAACACTCCCTGCCATACCTGACCAAATCCTTTATTTTCAAGTGTCATTTCCTGAGAGCGTCTTCCGTAAAGCCTCAAACTAGTTTCATTTTCCCTACATACATGTTTATACAGTATCTCCTTACCTTTCATGGTTTTTAAGAAAATTATACTTGGAAAACTATTAAATACATGACTTTTTAAGTAAATTTAATACCCAGTGAAAACAGTTGTTATTTGTGTTTTATTTACAATTTTATATATCTGGGAATTAGTACAGTATCTAGCACATCACAAGGCTCTCACAATTTTCTTAAAAAGATACACACACACACACACACACACACACGAGATACATGTGATCCACTGTTGACTGAAACGTTATCCTCCATCAAATGACTCTGCATGTGTATGTGTGTGTGTGTATGTGTACATATATAGTATATATGTGTGTATGTGTGTGCATGTGTATGTGTGTGTATATGGAGTATTGCCTTGTAATACTGTTTTAGCATTAGTTCATTAACTGCAATAACCAGTTTTAGTTATAAGCAAGGTAATGTTTTTGAATGGCATATAGAAATTAATATTTAAAAAGAGCAGTTTAAGAAAATTTTCCAAAACTAAGAAGCAACTTGATTGTTTACTCATCTTTTAGGCATTTCTAAAATTGCTAATTTTCTGGAATTTTATTTTTTATTTCCCTCCAGAAGAGAAACAGTGAGTCAAAAGAAATAAAACAACTATACATTTTTATAGCATATGTTTTTAAAAAAACATGTGTACGTAAATTTATTTGTCAGGCATTCAGATATATGTTCTGTTTATCAAAAATCATTAAGACTAATGTAGATTTTTTCAGAATACCAGTTTGGCTGATTTGTTTTGTTTTGTTTTTGTCTTGTGTATTCAAATTTTGAATTTCAAAAAAAATGCTTTTACTCTGGTTATAGCTGTGAAATATTTACTATGCATTTTTGATTTGCTAGGTTATTTTGAATGGTTTTAGGAAGAAATAGATTTGTATTTTTTATTCTTCTATCATATATACTTATATGAAATAATTGAATATAGAAGGGGGATCATCAGACTAAATTATTTTTGTATTTTTATATCACTAATCATAGAAAGACAATAAATACTAATAAAAGTAAGTAACATTGACATAGCATTCTATACTTTATTTATTAATTTATTTTTTGAGGCGGAGTCTCGCTCTGTGGCCCAGGCCGGAGTGAGCGGCGCCATCTTGGCTCACTGCAAGCTCCGCCCCCCGGGTTCCCGCCATTCTCCTGCCTCCGCCTCCCGAGGAGCTGGGACCACAGGCGCCGCCACCGCGCCCGGCTCATTTTTTCTATTTGTAATAGAGACGGGGTTTCACCGTGTTAGCCAGGATGATCTCGATCTCCTGACCTCGTGATCCGCCCTCCTCGGCTCCCCAAAGTGCTGGGATTATGGGCATGAGCCACCGCACCCGGCCGCATACTATACTTTCTAGAACACTTCTTATCTATTATCTAACTGAGCATTCCATTTCTTTTTTATTTTTTATACCAGATATTTGTTCAAAAGAAACCTGGGGCCAAAAATTGAAAGAGTAATAAGGTATGCTACGTAGACTTTCTAAGTCCATTTTGCTAAAACTTCGACTCAGAGACATATAGGGACATGCCTCAGTTTGCACAACCGGAAAATTTCGGCAGCTGGTCAGTTGCCTTTTTCTTCTGATTTCCAATTTGAGAAAATTGGAATTACTCTTAGATCAGTATCTGCATTAGTTAGCCACAAATACATGGTTTATGAATACTTTTTAGAAAAAGGGTAGAGCATAGTGATTAAGAATACTACTGGGTTGGCATCTATGCTTTTCCCTTTTTAGCTGTGTGATCTGGGTAAGATGCATCAACTATGCCTTCATCGGCTCAGTGACAAAGCGGGTGCCTGCTTCATAAGATTGTTTTGAGGGTGAAATGACTTTCTACTGAATGATGCTGCTGAAACAGCCTTAGCTTTCATGTATGAGGAAGTCTGAGGGTTGCCTCAATTTGTTTTTATTTTTGGGATAAGCCAGTATCATGTTGATCAGTTAACATTTATCGTGAATTGACTGTTTCCTTTGTGTGTATATAATTATGTGTGTATATATGCATCAGATAGAGCATCAGATGAAATTTACTGTTTTTATGGTACCTGTGCACAGAATTTCTACACACACACACACACACACACACACACACACAGAGAGAGAGAGAGAGAGAGACAGAGAAGGCAAATTGACTTAGGGCAAATTCAATTTGAAAATTTAGTGTATTTGAGGTATATATTAATTTAAACTATAA